GTATTACAGCTCACATATCAATGAGGCAACAGTTGCACGACGCCGCAGACAGACTCGCAGTTTTTGTTCGACATCGTCCTTCCTGTAGCTGAAATGTTCCTCCACAACTTTACAAGCAAATCTTTGTTTTCGTTGCTTCTCTCCTGCTCCTCGCTCGTTCCACTCCGCACATGTGGAGCCTGCGAGTCGACAAACTCTGTCTTTTAAATGAAGTTAAAAGAAAAAGCTCCTAAATCAGAGTAAATGACGTTCTGTCAGGCAGGCTTTGTTTTAAGATTAGTCATCGAAAATGAGGACCGTGTGAATTTTCTTTTTGTGTGAAGCAGCAAAAAGAGTTAGTTTGCCTTACGCACAGGGCATTCTGATGCTGAGGAGATATGTGGTGCAGCTTTAGTGTTCAGTCAGCTTCTATTGTTAACTAATGCTCCTAATTTTACAGGAATACATGAGTTGACTTAATCAAGCAGGTATATGATTATCTGCACCACTAGTCATTCTAAAACTCTACTTTTAGTGAATGCTGCATTCAGATGAACATGTGCTTTAACACAGTGTTTCTCGTACAAACAAGCTCATGAGTGATGTGCAGAGGGTCCATGTTAAAGACCGCAGAGAATACCCAGAGACCTTTTCCTATTTATCTCCCTGAGTGTCTCTGCCAGAGACACCGGAGCCAGTCAGCGGGTATTTTCTGTCTCCTGACCTTGCCCAGGTGACGTAGATGCGCTGCGTCACTGCTCCAAGTCTATCTTTTAACCTCGTTTTCTCTCCGACACTCGACAGCTTTTCCGCTCGTCCGTTTCTGTGCTTTCAGGAATAACGGAACGTTTTGCAGAAATTCGTTAGGAGTGTCTTCGCCTTTCTCTCGGTTCTCTCTCCTCTCCACGGTCATCCAAACCAAACAAGCAGCCAGCAGGAGACTGAGTGTGTGATTTGTGTGTCTGTGTGTGTTTTTGTGTGTTGCTGGACAGCAGGAGACAGAGCACTGGGTTCATGGGAATACAGTGTATGTGTGCAAGCGTGTGTGTGTGTGTGTGTGTTAAGTAACTGCTCTCATGTTGAGACCGGAGGTAAGACAGAAACTCATCGGGGCTAATTGGAAACAGACACTTTAAAACAGGGCTTTAACTTTTGGATGCATGCACTCGCACAACACACCAGCAAATATCCACAAATAATTACACTGAACGCACACGTATGTACGCTCTCATACCTTCGCAGGCATTTACTACACACAGCAGCATGCATTCCCTCAGTTTGACTCACACAGGCCTGTTAAACAAAGACAGAGTCGTCTTTGTCTTCAGATAAACAAGCGTATACTCCTGCTGCACGTTGGCTCGCTTCAGCTGTGTGCGCCTTCGTTCTGAAGTCTTCTCTAATGACGTCCATCTAATCCGCTCAAGAGTTCAAAACCAGATACGTCCGTCTTTAAAATGACCGTGGCAGCGGCGCAGAAATCATTATGGGATGTTGGCTGAATGAATCCGCCAACTTAAACGAGCAATCTGACGTTTTTGGACGTGCTTTAGCATCAGTCAGACAGACTGACAAGATGTTGCAATAACATTTTTAAATAGTAGATTCTTGCTTATGCAAACATCATGTCCTGATTTTAGACCCCTAGTCAAGCCTTTTTCCTGGTTTTTGAGAGGTTAACTAACGAGCTGGCTGGAGTACTCAGAAAGAAATAGATACAGACTACCTGTGCAGGTGCAGCTTCAGCCAAATTACAAAGAGAAACACAAACCAAGAGATATTTCCCACAACTGCCCAGTTTGTACAACACGACAGTCGCTCTCATCTTCAGCAGAACTGATGCTTGTATGTTGTTTCCTCTGGTCTGATAAAGTAAGATGCACACAAACATCAAAACACAACCACCATCATTTGAAAATTTCTGAGTTTTTCATTGCTGGTCAAACAAAACCAGCATTTTTTCCCACAATTTACTGACATTTTATGCACATAATACTGTTTTCATAACATTTAAATCCCTCAGTTTTAGACTGAAGACCTGCTGAACACTGCTCTTAAAGAAACCATACATTTGCATGTTCACATCTTCTCACAATCAGTCTGAAAGCTCAGTTTTAGCTCCTGTCTTTTTTCGGGCAACTTTGGTTATGTACCAGACTCTACCAGTTCTAGGGATGGAGCTTCAGCACATGCAGCTCTCAGTTTGACGGGAAGCAGGAGTTATGCAAATGTGTTAAATGGTGACGTGGATAAGTAACAGAAGAAAAGTCTGGACTTCGAACGAGGTGTTTCAGGCAGTCGGGGAGCAGAGTTGAACTCCCTTAGGTGAGGACTCGCTTGCAGAGCTTTCTACGTGCGCAGAGAAGCAGCTACATAACGCGGCAAAGGAAATGGAAAAACCCGAACACCGTAATACGGGCTCTTTAATCCCTCTCCGTTTTCTGTGAGACTCGCTCTTTTGTTTTAGGCCTCAGTCACCTTGGCTCGCTCGGCGTGTTCTGCTGAATCTTCAGAGTCCAAGGCTTTCACAACAGTCGCTGCAAACGGACTGACGCACTTGTGGTCAGGTCTGGCCTCAGAGTTTGTTTTGCTCTCATGGCACTGAGTCACGGCCTCACAAATTCCCTGGAAATACATTTTTTTCAACTGACGCGCTCTGGTTTTAACTCCTGGTTGAACCCGCTCTCTGGGTTTCCACCTGTTTCTTTTTTTTGCGCTGGCCGCAGAGCCTTTGGTATTTGTTGAAATCATCTCAGAGTTTTTTTTGTTTTTTTTTTTTTGCTCTTGTTGGTGAGGCCCAGGCTGTCTTAGCAGAACTCTGGCTGATTTGTGGTTCCTCTTCTGTGTTCTGCATTACATTTTCTTTCTGTGCATGAACCAGACGGGGCTGACTGCCTCATACATTTGTTTGTGTTAATGCAACTCCCAGACAACACACCGGGTTCAGAAAATATAAATAACATGTGTCCATCTGAGAGTGCTGAGCTGTTTCTTTGCTCCGGGGATGGGCGATGTCAGCCTGTTAATCAATCCACCACTTAGCTTCAGACTCAAACATCTCAACAAATACTGGACGGATCGCCATGAAATTCTGCACAGAGATCCCCAGAGCCCAGAGGATGAGTCCTAATCACTTTAATGATCCCCTGACTTTTCCTGCAGCGCCACCATGATGTTCACATTTGTGGTTTAATGTGAAATGTCTCAACAACTATTAGAAGGATTTTCGTGTAATTACGTGCAGACATGCCGGTTACCCTCAGGACGGGTTGCGTCCACATTGTTGATCGACTGACTTTTCATCTCACGCCATCAAAAGTGGAACTTTAATGGTCGAAAAAAAACCTGCAAAACTAATGACAATCCCACCTGCACGAGCTGCTGGGATGCTCCTTTGCCATCATAGCTTTACTCTAAGCTGTTGACATGTTGTTGCAGGAGTAGTGCAGCGTTTGGTGAAGGTGCTTGTGTGAGCAGATCTGATTTATCTCCTGTTTTTAGCTTCTTTTTTTTCCATCTCCTGTTACATATACTGTTTAAATGGAGAATCTGAAACTGCCACTGCAACCTGCACTACCTCTACAGGTTTGGCAGCTGCAGCCAGCATGCTCCTTTAATTAAACCTTTTTTTTTTTTGCACTTTTTCAGCTTTTGAACAACCCTAATGTACCGCCAAATTTACCGACTAGTATTGTTATTTTTAATGTACGCTCAGTGTCCATGTTTACCAGGAACACTGGAACAAAACTACTAAAGGTTCAACCAAAAAACAAAATAACACAGTTTGAGCACCACAATATACAACTCCAGGGAGATTTAGTAATGTTGGAGCGTCTCCTCTGTCTGTCTGAACCAAGCTGACTGGTCTTCTTGTGCACGCTGGTGGTGGTGGACACTCATACACCTGCAAACATCTGTATTGGAAACTATCCCAGCCAAGGGTGCTCCTGAGCCAAATGCTTCCAACACACAAGCAACAAAAACAACAAGCAGCCCTGAAAACAAACAAATAAAAGATCAGCAACCTCTCGTTTTGTAGTGATTGCTGCTACCATCTATCTGGATGAGGAAAAGTGGTGCAGCTTTCTATCTACAGTCATCCCCAGAGCCGTGCACTTATTGGATGCACACCTTATATTGTCACCGTGGGTCTCCCAACGCAATTTTACAGCTCAACATATATTATATTTTCCAGGTTCCCCGGTGGACGAACCCCCAGTTATTTATTTATGGTAACTCAGATGTAAGACAAACCAACACAACATCCATGACTGTCGTATTTTATATGTTTATTTTTCAATTCGTCATATTTAAAGTTTAAGGAAATTCAGTGCTCAAATTAAATGTTCAATAGATGTTTAAAAAGTCGGTTAGTAATCATTTCCCTCAGCATTGACCAAAATAATCATGATTTAGTTTAGTTTTTGGTTTTTGCCATAATCGAGCAGCTCTACCTCACAGATAATTTCCACCTTTTATTTTTTCACATCCCTTTTTTCTCTATTTCAGCCAACAAGTGCAGAAGCTTCCAGCTTAGTGCTCCCAGTGTTGACACTGCTGCTCTCTGTTCTATTTTACACGTGTACAATGCAAAATATGAGCGAGACGATCTATGAAAGCAACCACAAAGAGTTAGAGATAGAAGACAAGTTGGTTCAGGAGAGGTTAAAAAAAATGTTGCTTGATTTTTTTTACTTTTTTTTTTACCACTGTTTTGAATCTATTTCAATTTCTTGTTTGAAGGAATGATCCCTGAAAGCCTGTGTAAATATTCATCACCAGTCAGTCTCTCAGTCCAACTCTTCAAAGTCCAAGCGGAGCTCGAATTTTTCCAGGAAAGCGGCTGCATTCTTTAAAAAAAGAGACAAGGAGGAGAGAGTGTACTTTGGCGCTGCGCTGCAGCGACTGTGTGCAGATGTGATGGATGAAAAGTATGACTGTGGAAAAAAAAAAACCGACACGTTATTTTAAAAATCCCAAAACTGTGATGTGATCTCTGTTTGTGTGTGTGTGTGTGTTAGTTTTTTACAGAATACGGACCAGACTACTCGCTGGAGATCAGCCCGAGCTGTAGACCAGACCGCAACGACACCAAACACCTGGACCAGGTCATCAGCACCATCAAAGGTGTGTGTGTGTGTGTGTGTGTGTGTAGGTGTGTGTGTGATGCACAGGTGCGTCTGTCTGTGTGGAGCGTAAACAGGTGTGTGTCGCACTGAACCCTCGCTCACCTGAAGCCCTTTTGTCTCTGCACGGCTCTTTTTATGTGCGGTTTCATGTGTCTGTTCTTGTTTCCATACGTCTCTGTGTGGGATGAAGGTTTGTCTTGTTCTTCTGCTCTCTTTGTTTCCTCCCTGTTGCTCTGAACATCCTTTTGTGTGTGTGTCTGTTATCCACACCCTCTCAGTCAGAGTCTCCATACATGTGGTGTTTTTCTTTTTGCATCTTTCTGTCGATACGTGCCTTTATGTTTGCATGTACATCCCTGAGTGTGTGTGTGTGTGTGCAGCGTTGTGGTTGAGCCTAAAGCAGAGCCTTTGGTCTCAGCGTTGACAGCCCGCAGCTCCCAGGAGAAATCCTCCGGCAGGGTGAAACTTAGGCGAAAAGTTGAGCGGCGGGAGAATTATTGTAAGGAGGTGAGGTCAGGAACTCGCCCAAACACAAACGGCCCACGAGGAGGGGTTCATTTTCCGAACATTATGTCGCGTACAGCCACGATTTCGAGGATCCGGTGTAGAGAAGTGTTAACCACGGACCGGCAGGAAATCCTCCTTCCCTTCCCTCCATCGGTGAAATGCTATATTTAACACAGCTCTCATTGGTTCTGGTCTGTGAGAGTTATTAGCTGAATAAAAGGTGCTGAAAAGATTCTTGGAAGGTCACAGCCGGGCCGGTTACATCACAGAGCGTTCTGATGAAAAGTGTTGTGCCACAGAAGATTGCGGATTTATTTTTTCCCAGACCACAAAAAACCTCGAAAAACATCAACCAACGTGTAAAATTTTAGCTCCAATAATCCTAATTTCAACGCAGCATGTCAGGTTTTTTTTTTTTATACTGAAAACGTTGCCCTGCTTCTGCTGCTCGACAGAGTGAGCAAGAATCTATAAATGCAATCATTTATTTGCATCTATTGAGCTCTTACACACAGAAAGCATAAACAGCAGTGGTTCATAAACTTGATGACAGGAGCGACTACAGTAGGACATGGATCCAAATATATGTCACAGTCCAAATTAAAATCCAGGCAGAACTAAAATTTAGATTTCTCTTAGGTAAATTTAAAATTTGCCTAGGGAGGATTAAAATGTCATTATGATGTAAGAAGGAGTTTAAGTTTGTCTAGGTGAACTCCATCCATCCATCCATCCATCATCTATACACCTTGGTCCTCATTAGGGTCATGGGGGGCTGGAGTCTATCCCAGCTGACTCAGGGTGAAGGCAGGTTCACCTGGACAGGTAACCAGTCTATCACAGGGCTACACTTAGAGACAGACAACCAAGCACACTCACATTCACGCATTCATTTAGCATCACCAATTAACCTCAACATGTTTTTAGACTGTGTGGGAGGAAGCCGGAGAACCCGAAGAGAACCCACACTGCACGGGGAGAACATGGAGACTCCACGCAGATCCTGGGTGTCCTCACCGGGACGCGAACCCGCGACCTTCTTCTCCACCGAGTCACCTTGCAGCCTGAAATCAATGTTATAATTCTGATTTAATTCAGATTTTTAATTTGGTGTGGTCAAATTTTAAACCTGCCGAGACATCAAGGTTCTGTAACTCTGAAAACATTCACAGTACGCAGGTAGAACTGAAGGTAAAGAATCAGCTGATTCTGAGGAGGTCAGGAAGGAACTCATTGATTTTCCTGGAATGACCGTCTTGGTTTCTCTACTTGACGGTATCGTCGTGCTGCTTTTGAATCCACAAATCTGAGAAATGAATTCATGCACATCTGGTTCATGTCGGTTTTAAACTGAACTTATACTGAACTCCATATTTCAGCACGGCAAAGCTCTTTACATGGACACTCCAATAAGTGAGTGTGTATTTTGACAGATTAGAAAAAGCCTGAACTGACCACTATACAGTCACTCCAGTATCGTAGCACCTTTTAACCTGCTGAGGCAGATTTAACATTTGCCAAGACCGAATCAAAATTTTAATCTCGCCTCGGCAGAGTTAATTTGGACTGTGACATATCCACCGATCAGACCGGTGAAGTGAAGAACTCTTTCGCTGAGGTGGCCCCTGTCAGTAGGTGTCATATTTTAGGCAGCAAGTGAACAGTCTGCGGTTGAATTTTGATGTGCAGGGAAACTGTTCAGCGTGAGGATCATTCACCTGCAGAGGAGACGTGATGCTCTGGACAGCGTTCTGCTGGGAAACCTTCAGTCCTGCGTCCTTCATGTGGACTCAAACATTCCCTGCGCTCCAAACCGTACACTTTGTTGGCTGTTGCCTGCAGTGTGCATCCACCCGGGTCACACTGCTTCAGCGTTACCGTCACAGTCTGTGGTGTGAAATCAGCGGTTTGTGCTCTCTGCAGGGCACCGTCATGTATGCAACGTATCTTCCATAACAGAGAGGATTGTGGGTCAGAACAGCCGGAAAAGCTCGCCGGCTTACATGCTGGAAAACGAGAGCGGGCTGGTGTTTTTCTAGCATTTGACATCCTGTGTATCAGGAAATGCTGAATCTGTTTCTGACACACTGTATGGTATGTCAGTATTGGACCACCTAAACCCCTTCATGCCAGCTCTGTTATATCATTCTATAATTGTCGCTGCCACGCTGCCAACATCGCTCAGGAATGATTTGGGTAAAATGATGAAGAGTTCAAGGTGTCGCCTCTGAATTCCCAGATCTCAATTAGATGGAGTGTCTGTAATCCCTCGAGTCGCTGCCTCACAGCTTCCAGGATTTAAACAATCTGTTGCCAGAGTCTCGGGGACTGATACCAAAGAACAAAGTGGATGTTTCAGTGGATCTGAGCTGTTTTGGTGACACGAGGGCGACCCTTCACAATGTTAGGCAGCTGGTTTTAATGCTGTGGCTGCTCAGTGTCTGTATTAATAACGTAAAGTAGCATTAAGCCAGTTTAACTCAACATATACAGTTGAACTTTTTTATTTGTTGGTTCCCCATTTTTTTAAAATATTGATTGAGTCAGTTTTCATGAGGTGAGATGAATTTTTTTGCGTGCTCTTTCTGAATGTATATCCAGCTCATGCTTGTGTTTCAAAAGAGATGAAAACACGGTTAAAACAAATTCAGCAATCTGATAGAAAACTGTTGGCGTCCTCCTGAGTTCCTCTGCCTCTAAGCTGGGTTTTTGTCGTCCAGGCTGCGCTGAGGTGGGACCGTTGCTGTCAGATCTACTCGCTGGGGAGGACGTTTGAAAAGCTCCATTTTGTTGGTGGAAAACTTTGTTTCAGCGTGAACGGAGAGCCAGAACGGAGGGGAAAACGTGTGTTCCCAAATTGTACGCGCAGCAGAGCGGACATGGGATCAATTAGCAGCTCAAACTGCACACGTTCGAACAGAGCAGGTCATCTTACTGTGGCAAATGACAAAAAGCCTGTTGGACGCGGAGACGCTTTATCCAAACAGCATTAAGCGCTCCGCTCTGAAAAACTCCAGGTCACATCAAATCAGGGGAACAGGAGTTTATTTGCCGAAATTCAGTTGGTCTGTTGGCTCGCATTAAATCATCACGACCAGAGGGGTTGAAAGTTTCGCTGGTTTCCAGTCATACGGCTTTTATTAGGGCCAACAGAGAATGAAAGGGAGGAGAAATGAAACGCAGACAAGCCAAAGATGGACAGAAATGCATGCGTCCCATCTGCGTATTCTGTGCTTAATCAGATCCCGTTTCACTTCCAAGTGAGGAGGGAGAGTTTGAACATCAAGCGCTTTAGGTGTGTGTGTGTTCACTGGCTTTTTATTTTGTAAAATGATTTAATTCTGGAGCGTCCACGACTTAGAATTAGTGAAAATGTGCATGTTTGCTGTGCATCCTGTGTGTTTGGTTTCTTTTTCATTCTCACCCTCTGCAGCGTGAATCCAGGGACTTTCTCCTCTTTCTTCCAGTCCTGGTTTCAACCTGTCACATCTGTTTTATGTCGCCTCTCTTTATTTCCTCTCTCTCTCTCTGTCGCTTCTGTCTAACAACCTCTGCGCTCTGTCATCTCACATTGAGTCAGAAATTCCACACAACATGCGAGACGTAAAAATGTCAGTGAGGAGTTTGCAGTCTTTTAAAAATGAGAGTTTGTCTTTTGTGTCTGTGTCTGATTAAACTCATGCATACACATGAACTCAGCGTAAGGATAGTCTACACACACACACACACACACACACACATCCACATGACATCATCGGGGTGGATAAGTGTTTCTCTGGTTTGGAAGCGGAGCGCTGCTTACAAACACTGGTTTCCCTGAGAAACTGGACGGTGCGAGAGCGTCTGCACGTTGGTGTGTGTTCGTTGTCCACATCTGCTCCGTCTGCTGACATGACTCTTCTTAAAGAATCTTAAAGCAGTAATCTCCACAATCCTCTCTCTCTTTTCATTTTTCCTCAGCATGTGTCATGTGCCCAGCCCATATGTTGGATAACTTTAAACACATGCACCGTCCATCCACCGTGCTGTTGCTTGTACAAGTAGCAAATTATGCAAACATGCACAGAGCGGAGGGGCGACTTTGCACGACTTAGATCTGGATGAGCAGAAGATGTGAATGTTGTCCTAAAGGAGGCGAGTTTAAGAAGCATGTTCTGTGGGTTGTTTGAACCTCGGCAGACTTGTCAGGCTCTAAACATGTTTGATCAACGAGGATTTGACCGAAGCACTATTGAAAACATGTGAACACTTGTGTTGTTTCTCCGTCTTACAAGTTTTCTCTGGTGAATTATCAGAAAACAGAAACACATCCAGGGTACCAGTGATGGCTTCTGTGGCTCTATGTCATGTTTGTATCGGTGATACATCCCATAATATTCATGCTCTGCTTGGTTATAGAATAAATTGTGCTGAATAAAAAGTAGATTTCAGCTTTAGATTCTAACATATAAAATTGATTTGGCTGTAGTTTTTTTAATCAGAACTCGATTG